ACCCCCATGTTCATCCTTATAATATGATTGTGTGGTATCCACTGCAAAGTTTGTCATGTTGGATGTCTTCAGAAGGCTCATGATGCACTGAGCATTGTTGTTATGGTAATGTTATAGGTTGTAATTTCATGTATATAGTTATGAGGCTGAAAATGTGTCCTCATGGCTTAAAACAAGCCCAGGCAAAACTCTCCAGGAACAGAGGGGCAGTTCACACCTCATCAGGGCATGTATTGGGGCAAACCCAGCCCAGCCTCACAGGAACAAAAGACATTGAAAGGATCTATTGGACTCTGGAGTGAGTCACCCCCCTTCTCTTGGTTAGTTTGGGACTACGATGAGGTAATGCTCTCCTGACCCTGAAGGGGTGGGGGGGTGGAAAGCCAAGAGGGAAGAAAGAACATGATAAAAGGGAGAGATGTTTGCCATGCTCTTCCTCTCTCTCCCACCTCCATGTACAGACACCAGCATCAAGGAACTGAAGTGCTGATCAAAGGGGAGAGCCTGGCTGAAGGGCAACCAGCCAGCCTATGGTGAGAAGCATCTAAGTTTATAAGGGCACTGAAAGTGTTAAGATCAGCTTAGAATGTATTTTCCTTTTATTTCATTTGACCAAATCTGACTTCTTGTGCTTTAACTTATAATCACTTAAAATCTATCTTTGTAGTTAATAAATCTGTGTGTTTATTCTACTGAAGCAGTGCATTTGGTTTGAACCATGTCAGAGGCTCCCCTTGGGATAACAAGCCTGGTACATATCAATTTGTTTGTTAAATTGACAAACTCTCATAAGCTTGCAGCATCTAGCAGGTATAACTGGACACTGCACGACGGAGGTTCCTAGGGTTGTGTCTGGGACCGGAGATATTGGCTAGTGTCATTCAGTTGCACAATCCAAGCAGCAGCTGGACAAAAGTGCTCACTGACATAGCTGGGAGCAGCTTACATGCTAGAGGCTGTGCATGAACAACCTGGGAGTAGGGGTTCTCACAGCAGAGCAGGGTAAGGCTGGCTCCCAGAGTCAAGGATTGGAGTGACCTGGCAGATCACTGGTCCAGATAACACCAGGGGAACGTCACAGTCATATGTAAGACATGGGAGGTAATTGTCTCACTCTACTCAGCAGTGGTGAGACCTCAGCTGGAGCACTGTATCCAATTCTGGGCACCACACTTCAGGAAAAATGTAGACAAAGTGGAGAGCGCCCAACTGGAGAGCAACAAAAATGATAAAAAGTTTAGAAAACCTAACATATAAAACAGGTTAAAAAAATACTTGGCCTGTTTAGGCTTGAGAATAGACAACTGTGGGGCGGGCCTAATAATAGTCTTCAAATATCTTAAGGGTTGTCATAACGAGGAGTTATTTAGTTGTTTGCCACATCCCCTGAAGGCAGGACATGAAGTAATCAGATTAATCTGCAACAAGAGAGATTTAGGTGACATACTAGGAAAAGCTTTCTAACTATAAAGTTAGTTAAGCTCTGGAACAGGCTTCCAAGGGAGGTTGCGGAATCTCCAACATTGGAGGTTTTTAAGAATAGGTTAGAGTTGGACACACCTGTCAGCGATAGTCTAGGTGGTTTACTTAGTCCTGCTTCAGTGCAGGCGGATGGACTCGATGACCTCTCAAGGTCACCTTCTAGCCCTACATTTCTATGATTCCATGAATATGGAATAACCTCAGAGCTTGGAGTATGATGAAGCCCAGAAAGAAGAAAAGCAAAAGGGTATAGAGGACAAGTCTTCAAATGGGACTAGAAGGTTTGTACAATGTTAGTTTACTGTCCCAGGGAATCTAACGTAAATATTTTTTAAAGTAAAGAAGAGTAACAGAATAACAGCAGCTCTGTCTGGGAAATGTAATGGTAAAATGGAGGGTACACCATATAACAGAGGACTGTTGATATTACAGTTTTCAAGACACTTTTTTCTTGGTTGGGAGAGTGGAAATACCACCTTTGGACTCCTTCCACTGAGAGTATTTATTATTTGCATTATGATAGCTCTCAGAGCTTGATCCTTCTTGGGAGTGCATTTTGCTAGATGCTGTACAAATATAAAACAAGACAGCTCCTTCCCCAAAGAGCTTGCAATCTAGTCCTGCTTACCTAAAAAAGTGTCCAAATATGGAGGTTTTGAGCACCAACTCCCATGTTCCCAATGGAAGAGAGAGGAAACTCTGCAAGGCTATTTAGTCCCTTACATGGATTTTTCCTCAAGATGCTTCAAAAGTTGGATTTGCAAGAAGTGAGTCACCCAAAGTTAGACTATTTTTGAAAATCCTAGCCTAGAGCTTTAAATATGGCCCTGATCAACACACAGGGATTTTCTGGTATTTAAATTGAATCCTTTTTAGGGCTGACCCAGCTATGATTGTAGACACTTCTGTTAATAAATATGATAATTCTACTGAAATAAAACAAATATTCCTTGTGGTTATTCAGGGGCAGGAATTAATTTCCATTTTCCACTCTTATGTCAAGCTTTGACTACTCTTCACTCTGAAGGACCTACAGGAATATAAAATATCAAGAGTATTCATTTTTGCTGTAGTAGGAAAGCTAACCAAACATGAAACAAAATGCATACTTTATTTTAAAGAAGCATTTTATTTTTGGGTAGCTTTGTGTATGAGCTTCAGCCTAGTATTATAAACCGTGTGTAAAAAGTAAGTCTATAGGCATTAATATTTGCATCTCATGTCTTTATAGTGCCGTCACCTCTTAAAAAAAACTTTTCAAACCTTCACAACTACCAAACCACAGAAGTAGTCTTTGCACAAAAGCTTTCATTACAATGGCAAAAATACAAGTGTAAACCTTTTTAGCGAATTATATAAATACAATATTTACTTTGAAATGTTAGGGGCCACACCTACAACCCAGTAATAGGACTACCTAAGTGACTAAGAACTGCCCATACTACACAGGGTTTTTGGAATCTGGTCCTTATTTAACATAAAGAACTTTAATAGCTTACATAGCATTGTTACTATATCCTCTGATCCAAATTCTAGTCTCACTTCCACCAATACAACCCACTGATGTCAATGCATGGGTGGAATCAAAAGCAGAATCTGACCACATCCTGACCACAGAAGTACTGCGGAAAGGGATCTGGGGGTCATAGTGGATCACAAGATAAATATGAGTCAACAGTGTAATGCTGTTGCAAAAAAAGCAAACCTCATTCTGGGATGTATTAGCAGGAGTATTGTAAGCAAGACACGAGAAGTAATTTTTCCACTCTACTCCAGCCTTATTAGGCCTCAACTGGAATATTATGTCCAGTTCTGGGCCCTACATTTCAGGAAAGATGTGGCCAAATTGGAGAAAGTCCAGAGAAAGAGCAACAAAAATGATTAAAGGTCTAGAAAACATGACCTATGAAGGAAGATTTTAAAAATTGGGTTTGTTTAGTCTGGAGAAGAGAAGACTGAGAGGGGACATGATCACTGTTTTCAAGTACCTAAAAGGCTATTACAAGGAGGAAGGAGAAAAAATTGTTCTTCTTAACCTCTGACAATAGGACAAGAAGCAATGGGCTTAAATTGCAGCAAGGGAGGTTTAGGTTGGACATTAGGAAAAACTTCCTAACTGTTAAGCACTGGAATAAATTGCCTAGGGAGGTTGTGGAATCTCCATCATTGGGGATTTTTAAGAGCAGGTTGGACAAACACCTGTCAGGGATGGTCTAGATAATACTTAGTCCTATCTTGAGTGCAAGTGACTGGACTAGATGACCTCTCAAGGTCCCTTCCAGTTCTAGGATTAATAGGTTACATTATCTTTCAACATTACATCATCTGCTATTGAGTTTGTTCTCTGAAGGCACTCTGATCTTGATTGATCAGCTGAAGATTCTTTGTGCCTGATTTTCTGTAGTGCTGAGCGCCCACAGCTCCATTGACCTTAAAAGGAATTGCAGGGCTCAGTACTTCTGAAACTCAGGCCGAAGGGGCTTCAAAAGTTGGGCTCCCAAACACTGAGACATGCAAAAATTAGGGACCATTTCTGAAATAGTTGCCCTAGAACTTTAAATATGTCCCTGATCTAAACACAATCCACAGGTAATACAGCCACTTTTAAAAACACAAAGAATGGAAGTTATTCCACACATTAAATTTGATTAGTCACTAATAACAAATTCTTATTTTTAATCTAAGTCTTCATTGTCTGCAGTCTCATGGCCTCTCCCCCAAGATCCTCAGCTCTAAATCAGAGGATTAAATGTGGTCCAGTCTGATTTTTATACAGTGTATGAGAGATCCATTCATATTCTGGCTTGTATCGTTCCAACACACCTGGCTTTTAAAAAAAAAAACCCAGCAAAAATATAAATTCATTCATATTAAACAGGCTTTGTTCATGGCGTTTTTGTTGTAAAAATTTGAAACTGACATCTATTTTCAGCCACATTTCCCACCCAATAATGTCCAGAATTCACATGTGCATGTGATCTTGCCCATTGGCCCAGAAGGTGGGAAAAGGACTTATTACTTCCAGCTAGCGCAATCACTCCTGCTACTCAAGTAGTAGTGGCTTGTGCTTTTGGTAGTGTTCTACCCCTGCCGACAACCCATGGTGGGGACAGTTGCACATGCACACCATGGGTTGCTATTATAGACTTGCCCTTGACTGCCAAGTTGCTGGCGTTAACTTGTTTTAAGGGCGTATAGAATTATTTGTGCTGAAGTGGGGGAAGGGGTATGTATGAACTAGTATATACATTTTGTAAACAGAGGCAGCAAACAGGGCACATTTCTGGCCTACCAGCCCCAAAAGTGTCCTGCAGGTGTCTAGCAAGGAGAGTTCCATTATATTGTTTGTATTTTGTTTCCATGCATAGAAACTCTCTCTCAACAAGTTTATTCCTCTTATAGGGAAAACAATCTCATGTACTTGGGGGGGGGGAAAAAAAAAAAAAAAGCACAGAAAGTTTTTTTCTTCAATACAATGTATTTTCCCTTTGGGTAATTATTTACAAGGACTTCACGTAACACTGAGGAGTTTGGGCTTTGGAACAGAGTGAACATATTCAATGATCTCCTGTTACAAGCCACTCCCCTCCTACCCCATATCTCTTAGGAAAAGTATATCCCAGGTTAGCTCATGAGTTTCCTTTGCCACTGATAGTCCCTTGAATAATGCTGTCTTCAATATATTGACCGGTAGTATCTGTGCTCCTGCTGAGCACTGTTGAAGGAATCCTTGAAGATCGTCTCTCCTGGCTTTTATCATCAGAAGAGCAGCACATGATCCGTCTCATGGTGTTGGACATTTCATCATCTTTGTAAGAGTAAATGACTGGATTCATGACAGAGTTGAGCAAGGCCAGGAGAAGGAACCATCTTTTCACATGCTGAACCCCACAATGAGTGCAGTTCAGACCATCAAGCAGCAGAACCACCAACCCAGGGGTCCAACAGACAACAAATGCACCTAGAGAAAGAAAAAAAGAAAAAGGGGTTCAGACTTGAATAAATCCTGGCTTTGGGCACACACGTATTTTTTCCCCTCCAAGAGCATCAGATTCATTAAGAACAATATACACAAAATTGTACAGGGAAAAACAACAACAAAAATTACGTCTATTAATTTCCCCGGAAAGCACTTAAAATGTAAGAGCTTAGCATTTGAAAGATTACAGAGAGCATGAACTGGGATGCTAAGAGTCCATTGCCTCTTACAACAGGCAGTGAACGGCCCTTACAACACTAATTTGGCCACTCTGACTAGAAGACACAAATGGGGCAAAGAATTCTTTGGCACAATACAACTGAGTTGATGCAACTGGTGCTTTGGCAGGTAGAAGGAACTCCTCTATTAATCGCATCTCTACTCTGTATGCTGGAGGGAAAGAGACTGCCATGCTACACCCCAAAGAGACGGCAAATCTACTGCCTGTTAAACAGACTACAGCTGATTGTGTTTGCAAAGTATGCTGCTAATTTCATCCAATAGGAAAGCACGTACTTTAAATATGTGCAGGTTCAAAATGGCCCAGCTACCCCAGGCTGCAGTGCTCACTGTGGTGTAAGCAGTATTGAACCCCAGAACTTTTTTGGTACCCTGCCACACCATTCCATACTGGGAACTGTCTCTCCTCTCTCTTCACAGCCCACTCTATGATCTTGTCTATGGGTGCCAAGGCTACGGGCATATTTCCCTGCAGGATGAGGTGCATGCCAAGTACCTCCCTCATCTCCCTACCTATCCTTCTCCACAGGGCTCAGCACACTGAGGTAGAGGGACCAGGGAGCAACTGAGCCAAGAGGGAGTTAGGGAGGAGATTTTGAGAAAGGGATCCTGGGGGTTGAGTGGAGAGATGAGGGTTGTGAGGGGAGGAATTAAGATCTAATGCGGGGGAAGGGGAAAAAACCAGAAGAGATAGAAGAGATAAAGGGAGGTGAGAAATGGGCTGGCCAGGAGACAAAGGTCACCAGAAAGAGGACAAATCAGGAGTAGCAGAAGAAGAAATGCAGCTAGATCCCAACATGGGGGGGAGGGAAGAGAGAGAGGGAGGAAGGACAAGAGAGGGAATGGGAAATTATATGAGAAAAGGGGGGAGGAGGAGAGTTATTTTATTGAAGAGAAAAAGGCAACAAAAGGAAGTGAATGACAGAGAGCTCGTGCCAGGCATCTCCTCGGCAGCCAAAGTGATGGGACTGAGCGAGGAGTGAAGAAACCACACACCCACACCCAATGCAATGGCCACCCGTCCTCTACACAAATATGCAAAGCCAGTACAGGGGGGAGACACTACACAGAAAGGAGGAGAAAAGAAGAAAAGTGGAAACATCCAGGAAGGATGAAAATGGGAGAGAAAGAGAAATTAAGATGTAAGACTTATTTACAGCCCTACATGTTACTGCTATCCTTGTCAGAAGGGGCAGGGGGAAAAAAAAAATCACACTTCCACAGGAGAAGGTGCAAGAGGAGAAGAATCTTCAGAGTGATTGTGGCATCAAACCAGCGATCTCCCTCCACCCCAACATGCACACTGCCAGCTTGTCATTCTTTGCTTTCAAGCCCAAGGAAAAGCAGCCATGTGTACCATAATACTAACCTAGCACAAGCCACAATTGCTGCCTGACTTGCAAAAATAGAAAATTACAACTCTGCACAAGTCACTTTGTGGATGACACAGTAAGGAAACTCTGCTTATGTATAAAGATATGGTTTCCCTTTTTTGGGCTTTAAAAATCAGCAAACAAATAAGAACACTTTTAGCATTTATGCACGTCCCTGTTGAAATGCTCTCTGGATGGTCTTGGTATCCATTCAACAGCTTTGATATTAAAAAGGAGTCACCTTCATTTTCAGAATACTGCTAGTTTTCCTACATACAAACTGTGGGTGATGGGGTGGACTAAGCCCAAAGGCCCCCTGCTGGAGGCCTCAGAGTTCTGGCACACCTCAGGGTTCTGCCACACCCATCCCAGGAAAGGAGCAGTAGAGAGGTCCTCCAAGCAGGCTAGAGTGGCTGCAGGGCAGGAGTCAGCAACGTATCCATACACGGACACAACTGTCCATGGTAAAAAATTTGAGGTCTGTGGGGGCGCTCACCTCAGGCAGCTCCCTGTCCCTGCTGTTGCTGGCGGAGGCGCGGCCAGGCGGCTCTGCAGGCACCCTGCCTCCATCCCCTAGCCCCGAGTGCTGACGCCACGACTCCCAGCCCACTGGCCGGGAACTGCAGCCAATGGGAACTGCGGGAGGTGGCGCCTGAAGATGGAGGCAGCATGCCTGCAGAGCTGCCTGGCCGCACGCGCCTCCGCCAGCAACAGCAGGGACGGGGAGCCGCCCAAGATGAGCGTCCCTGCAAGCGGCTCCCCATCCCTGCTGTTGCTGGTGGAGGCGCAGCCAGGCGGCTCTGCACGCTGCCTCCGTCCCCCCTCCCTGAGCGCTGACTCCTGAGCTCCCAGCCCATTGGCTGGGAACCACAGTCAATGGGAGCTGCGGGGGCGGACAGGGCAGTGCGCAGAGCCGCCTGGCCGCGCTTCCGCATAGGAGCCAAAACATGCTGCTGCTTCCGTGAGCTGCTTGAGGTAAGCGCTGGATGGAGCCTGCACACACATACACCCTGCATCCCACTCTCCTGCCCCAGCCCTGATCCCCCTCCCGCCCTCCAACCCCTTGGTCCCAGCCCGGAGCAACCTCCTACACCCCAAACCCCTCATCCCCAGCCTCACCTCAGAGCCTGCACCCCTAGCTGGAGCCCTCACATACCCCCACACCCCAACCCCCTGCTCCAGCCTGGAGCCCCCTCCTGCACCCTGAACCCCTCATTTCTGGCCCCACCCCATAACCTGCATCCCCACCCCAGAGCCCCAACCACCTCCCACAGCCCAACCCTCTGCCTTACCCCAGAGCCCCCTCCTGCTTCCCGCCAATGTCTTTCACTAAGTCCGGTAATTTTGTCAAGTGTCCATCGTGCAACATGGGTCACCCTGCTGCAGGAAAAGCAGCCAATCAGGGCCCAGGAGGGCCATCTAAAAGGAGCTGCAGAACAGAGCAGTAGTTAGTTGCTACTTGGAGCTGGAGACGAAAGGACTGCATGCCTGGCTGGAAGAGCAGGAGGACCACAGGCAGTCTTCTGGCAGGGACCAGGGAGCAAGAGGCTTCTGGCTGGCTGCTAGGACTGAGCCAAAGACAGTTTGCTCCCTTGGTCTCTGCTAGCAATGGAGGAGCTCTTGGATGGCTACTAACTGAGAAGGGAGTGAGCCCGGAAAGGGCCACAGGAAGATAGTGTCTCCAGGGAGGAAGCCCTGGGGATATGGCCCCATACCAAGGCCAGGACTACTTAAAGACTCAGCTCAGAGAGGGCTAGAGAAACACCACCAGAGGGGTACTGAGATAAACCCTGGTGGACTGTATACCCCAGAAGGGGTTTGTTCTGGTTCACATGCAGATAGTGTGTGTGTGGCTCAGTCAGAGGGCTGAGTCACTAAAAACCCACCTGAGAACCACCGAAAGGGGTCTCCAGACCTAAAGAACGCAGACACACCCAACCAGAAGGGGGCACTCGTGAGAGGTGGGTGCCAATCCCGTTACACTGTGTAAGTACAACACTGAGGACGTAGTGCACAATTCATATCAAAGAACTGGGAAATGCAAGAGTTATGATTCTAACAGTAACATCAAAATACTGCATTGTACATACAATACACACACACTCCCAACAAGCTACACAAAGAAGTACATGGCCTGATTTCAGAAATGATAAGCAGCCATCGCTCCCATTGTTTTTAAGGGAAACTGAGATTGCTCAGCACCTCTCAAGAGCAGGCAGGAAGAACAAAGAAATGAATTCGAAAGCTTTAATAAGTGTTACAATTTATGAAAAAACATGCACGAGGTAAAAATGTTGTAATAGTTGTTAGGAGACTGCAAAATACTTCCTAAACTGTCCTTCCACTAGAAACCACTTCCTAAAGTAAGGAAAGAAAATTCACCCACCAGATTTATATTCCTTTTTGGATAACATACCATGGAATGGAAAGATTAAAGGCTGGAGCTTTCATAAAAGATGCATTTAACTCTACTGTAGCTTGAGTCTGGATTTTTGTGTCCCTAAATACCAATTTTATAGGTTAATTTTGAATTAGTGGTCAGTAGCAGTTATTTGTGAATTCTGATGCGAGAGGGTTATGAGTAGATCTCTACGCAGGGTGTTCAGAGCTGTAGCTCAAAACATCAATTCTGGTAATCAACTTTGCAGCATGGATTATGGTTCAGAACCAGAACATTGCATAAATAGAGGTTTATTGCACTGAGTCTTACCCAAAGCCCACTGATGTCAATGGAAAGCCCCCTTTGACTTCAATGGGCATTAGAATAGGCCCCAATTAGGAAGAGACCACACTCTACATTGACATCAACTGTCATTGAATATTTCTGGGCCTCTAGGGTCTCAGTGCAACTTTTTATTAAACATCAGGGGCTAAGGGGCTAACTCTCCAGCTCCTTGCAAAGAAATAGTTTAGCGTGTGAACCATCTCTGCATACAAGTAAAAAAAGGGGAAGCAGTTTACCACATTATTTATTCTTTACCACACTGCAGGACCCCATCCTGCTTCCATTGACGTCAATGGGAGCAGGAGCAGGCCCCAAATTAGTGTATAAATGTGTTTTTTTAAAAGTGTCAGCTAGTAATTTTTTGCAGACTAAACATATGACAAACTCTAGGAAATACATCTACTTGCACAAACAACATTGTAAAGAGTGTAATGGCAACCACTGGACATCAAAAAAACGTCCTTTGCAGAAATTTCTCTAGTATCTGTGTGATGTACAACTTCCCCAATGGAAAGTTGGAACTCCAGACATTTAGGCAAGGTCTAAACTGTGAGCTAGGGGTGTGATTACCCTGCCCACATTCGTGCTAACTCTCATAGCATGAGTATAAATAGCAGCGTAGCTACAGAAGCTATGCCAAGTAT